GCTGAGGAGATAGCGCAGCATAATCACTAGTTGCGTTCGGCACTTGAAAATTCTTTAGGTGTAAAAAAAGGCGAATTTTAATGGCATTACCAATCTAGCCAAAAATGTTCCTGGGAATCACCAGTGGACAGTTGGATAACAAAGCCGCTAAAGCATACAGAAAATCGCTAAGCCTGGCAACAGTGTTGTATTGTCCAGATAACACGTCGCTAAGTAGCGACTAGGATAGTGATGGGACATTTTATTCATACTGATCGGTGCACGAAAATAACTGAATGACTTAGCACACTGCAAGTGGGGAAAGTGATTTTTCTCAGGTACCAAAACGAACTAAGGAACAGTCAAATAAGAATTTCATCTGACACGCATGAAACATCTGTCGAAATCAGGTTCAAGTGTTGTATGAAAATGTTCTATTGATATCGATGAATTTCTAGAACATCCAAAGGTCTGAAAAATCTTTTAATCATTTGAAAATCTGCAGAAAGTATATAAACATAGCCAACAGTCAAGCGAGTAATAAATCTTTCGGAAGCAAGTATCGAGAAAAACAGGCTCCAGGGGCGCGGGGGAAAGTGGAAAACCTCTGACATGTGAGGCAACTTGAAGTGAGATGAGATTATAACTGAGAAAGTGGCCAAAATAGAAGCTTCTGAAATCAGCCTTGTGTGGTCCAAACTGCTAAGTATTATCAAGCTATTCAATTCAATTTAGTAAAGCCAGTGTTGGACTGGTGCATATTCCAAATTCTTATAACAGAATCAATTTATATATTCATGTTTTTTTTGGTGCGCATTTTGAACTAGTTTTTCACTCAGTGTAGAAACATACAGAACTTGAAGCAACTCGGGCTGGTGTTGTGTACTGTCTTCTGCTTCGATTTCCATCTTTGAATGCAGCTATGCTATTTGCTCTTGGTTTACTGTTCTTTTTTTCGATGATTCGTCGTAGTAACATGGAAAAGGACAAAGAAACGAAAAATAGGCTTCATTGACAGATTACTGTACGCGACACGACATTAGAGTTGTTTAATGTTGTTTTGGGAGCAACTTTAGGATCAAAGGTATTAACTAAGGTAGAATATTTTAAACACAAAAACTGCGCTAATTTTATCAGAAGAAAACACTATATCTCTCAGCCACAGAAGTAATAGGTACTGGTTCGTGACAAACTACTTTATGCAACAATAACACAAAAAATATATGTACAGAACCAGAGCAGATATTCCAGTCTGTCAGTCGAGATAACGTAAAAACGATTCAATTCATATCTTTTAACCGTTCCAATGCATTCCACTGATTGCAAATGTATTCTACCATCACTAACATTGCGAGACACTAATTTCAAATGTCAATTCTCAGTACTCCAACGTTACTGTAGTCTATGTTTTGTGGTCACTCGTCATGTGTTGTTTTGAGCTTGTTGTGTTTTTTTGAAAAATGGATTTTCCGTATAAAAGGTGCTCCCTCCAAGATCTTTCTTGCGCAGAATTACATATTACACTTTCGTCTACAGTTAAATCTGCACTAACCCCCAAATACGTGGATATGTACCATCACCGATGGTGCGACTGATTGTACACTGAAATCAAAACAAAAAACTGCAACTGCAATTGAATGTATCAATGAAGTCTTGCACAGTTTCGGACCAGTGCTGTCAAAATCTCGTTGAGGCATTGGAAAGAAGTGTATGAATGTGTTGGAACGCAACGCCTAAGAAAAGTTTGAGTTAAAAGGCTTTTGTAAGAATCTGGATGTGCAAGTTTGCAAATGTAGGATAAACTATTAACACCCAGTAGGTGATGTTTAGTTAATATAATCACATATGAATTACAAAAGTTGCAATAAACATGGAAAAACCTTCAGCTAAACTGAAAAAATGGATTTTACTCAGCCATCAAGCATTTTTTTTAAATTTTGGCTCAGTTTTATATAATTTCATAATATTTAATAAACTGGAAACATTTCAATGGCAAGCTGTCACTTCATATTTTACAGTGTTTTGTTTTGAATACTTGATGCTTTTTGCTGCCAAAAATTTGACGGAGAGATCTTGAGGTTGATTGGGCATATTTAACGGACTGTTTGGTACTCGTACCTTATTAGTGCAGAATAATGGCTTATTAGATTGTGAAATCGGCCCTTAGTGTAGCTAAGTTTTAGCGTGGCTCATAGATTCAGTCTACTTGACACCAATTTTACAACACAAATGACGAATTGGCTAGATACACGTACCTGACGGATTCATTAGGCCAGTGGCTATTCCATCTAAGAAAGCCTGTCTTGCTGATTTAATTGTAAAGTCTGCCCATACTTTAGGTTTTGTATGTCCTGCATTTATCCAGGTTTCATCCAAGTAATAAATCTTCCTGCCCTGGTCGCGGTATTTCTTTTGATTTTAAATGATTTCCTCTCTATAAAATAATCTCTTGGCTGTCCGTCGAAATACTGCTTCTGCCCCTTTTTCTATACTCAAAAGTTTTTTGAGCAAATTTCAGAATTTGGTCGTTTTGAAAGTAGGTAAGTCTTCATCACTATTAACTTCCTGTAATACTTTTTCCATGGTGGGAAATTCCTGCCTTTGCGTCTGATGGCATTCCGATCAAAGCTATCAACTGTATCCTATAGCTTCATGTAGTGCAGCCTCTTGTGTGGTTTGTTTTTTTTATATTCTCTAACAATGTTGAAAATAGTCTTAGGACAGAAGCCTGTTTTGTTCACCACACGTCTATCCATATCATGAGTTTTCAATTCAGGATGCTCTAAAATTTCACTCTTATAAGCGTTAAGGACAATTTCTTTTGCCTGAATATTCAAATGTCCCTTCTTGTCACGTTTTCGGGGGGGCATGGCTGAAGGAAGCATTGAGAGAAATATTCTCAGTTTCATCTGCTATATTCGTAGACGACATGCTACCGTATAAACACAAGCTATCTATTCAGTGAATATGAACAGCAACTGCCGTCGTCGGCGTGCCGGCAATACCCCGAGCCTGAGTTCTATCCTGTCGGATCCTGCACTTGTTTTATGGCCGAATGACCAATGCTTAGGCGGCTGCCGCTTTATCGCGCCGCATCTTTGTTGTGCCGGGGCGTAAATGGACTACGAATAGGGTATAATATAATGTCTGTGCCGCAATCCATATTTGACTCGGAGTAAACGTAACACGGTGACATGAGGGCGATTATTCTCGAAGAACGCGCGCTGTTGTCCCGTGAATTGACTTTTGGCTACGTAAAATGCGTGAGTAATGCATATCGCAGTAACATCAGAATACTAGAACTAAATAGATAACATTGATAAACACAGGAATTGTGACATGACAATTTTTGGGTGTATCTTATGTATTTTGAGACCTTTAGGTATTTTAATTTACCATCAGCTTTGCGGCCCGTTTAAGCATAGTGATGAACTTTCTGTCCCAGTTCCACCAGAATCTTGGTCTTTGGATGAAAAAGTCGAATCCACCGATTATGAAAGTGGTGGTACAGAAAGCGTAAAAATTTCTGATCCTCCGTTTGACCTGCCAGGATGTTCAACAGCACCGCACAGGGCGAACTTAATGACTTAGTTCGAGAATTAAATCTGTCAAAATCCTAGTCAGAACTTTTAGCGTCAAGATTTAAAGGATGGAATCTTCTCCACGCTGATCTTAACATTACTTTTAACCGAAAACGGCAACAAGACCTCATACACTGTGTTCGTCAAGAAAGAGAGTTGATATATTGCTCCGATGTCAACAATTTGTTTGACGCGTTAGGACAGAAACGTGAACCAAATTATTGGCGCCTATTCATTGATTCCTGTAAGCTTAGTTTAAAAGCGGTATTGGTACACAACGGTAATAAGATATGCGAATTCTGTTAGATCATATCCATTATAATGAATATGGATGGGCCATATATGCGCCTTTTTATACTTTGTATAAATAAAGCCGGATTATTATTATTATTATTATTATTATTATTATTTAAGGGTAATAGCCCTTCTTCTTGAAATGCTACTGGGATATAACAAATATTGTTGTTCTCTTTGTGAATGGGACAGTTAGCGCGAGATCGTCATTATGAACAGAAGGAGTGGCCAATACGTCAGGTATTAACTCCGGGCCCCAAAAACCTTGCTCATTAACCACTAGTTGTTCCTAAAAACGTGTTGCTTCCACCTTTGCCTAATAAGTTGGGACTGATGGAAGATTTTGTGAAAGCTATGGATCGAAATGGAAGAGGGTTTCTGCATTTAAAACAGACATTTACGAAACTTAAAGAGGGCGTATTTGTGAGTCCAAAAATACAGAAAATCATGAAGGATGATGTATTTGACAGTGCTCTAAATGAAACTGAATAACGAGCTTGGAATGCTTTTAAACCATTTACTGCAAATTTTTCAGGCAATGTGAAGTCGGACAATTAAAAAGATATTGTAAGTTAACTAATTAATGCTTATAAAGGAATGGGATGTCACATGTCTCTAAAAATTCACTTTTTGGATTCTCATCTCGATTTTTTTTCCGAAAAATTTAGGTGCGGTAAGTGATGAACATTGTGAACGGTTCCAGCAAGACATTTTTGCTATGGAAACATGGTATCAAGGCAATTTGCTTGCTGATTATTGCTGGACATTATTAAGAGATGCTTCAGGAGAAACATATCGCCGTAAAACATCGGCAACAACATTTTGAGATTAATGTTTATTCGAGTATTTATTAGTACTCTTACAGACATATCCTTCTATTTTACGAATAAAAGTAGCAAATAAAATGCCTTATTGCAAGAAAACCATGGGTGATAGAAAAAATCGAATGCTATTTCCGGTATAATCAATTAGCGATCACTCGGGAGACAAGCAGGCTGCAAAAGGTTGAGCCAAAATCAAGCCGAGACCCTCAGAAACGACGACTGCACCTCGTATTGTATACTTTTCACACAAACAAGATAACAACTATGTATATAAGCATGCAACGCTGAGGCTACCTGGAACATTTTAACTCAATTAGTAAAAATGTATTCTATGAAGATCCTAGTTGGCGTTTTCGTCTGTCTTATGGTGATGGCTTCTGTGATGCAACCAGCCGAGGCAGGTACGGACTGCTTCCACCTTCAACATTCTTACGGCAAGAAGAAAACTTGCATCAGAAACTGCAACAGGTTTTGCGAACTAAACGGCTGCAGCAAGAAGAAGTGCCGCAGAGGTGAGTGCGTGTGCAAGAGAAAGTAGTCACCAGCTCTTCAGCAAAAAAATGTTTTGTACTCTATGGTAAACGTATGTATATGACTATAATCCGTATTAAATGTATGTGCAATCGTCAAATACTGAAGTTTCATTTTAAAGGTGTGCTTTTAAGTATAAGCTACAGTTCAGGGTCTTATGAAGCACGAAATGTCCATCATGTTATACATAGGCTACTAAATTACACACAGATTATTTTTTATTAAAGATTTAAAGGAACTTCCAATATATGTTCCAGAATTTAAGTTTAGCACAATATTTCAACCTGGCCTGGTTTTGTATTTCTCATGCATCTTTCGGATACTCAGGTACCCAATTATAAATGGGTTGTTGCATTAATAAAATATTTTAATGCAAAAGTTGCAGCTACAAGTTTTGGCTGGATGTGATGTCAGAACCCTTTCTTAAATACAATGAGGAGTTAATCCCCATGTTTGTCTGGCCAGTAAAATCTCATGTGTTTAAAATTATTTTTTATTGTACACGCTTTGGTCACAACGGTACACTAACGCTTTTTTGATATTTTGTTTATCCGTCTTCCAGGTGTCACGTTTGTTTTTTCTTTTCATTATCGCATTCCTATACAGTGTATTCCTACAATAGTCTGGAATGTATGTAACTTCCTGAGGTTACCCAAAGCCTTCATTCCAAATTTTAAGATGGCCCAACGCAAAACCAGCATAGCCCAGGAACGCCCGTGGTAGGCATTTCCGCTCCCAAAAGGAAGGCTTTGGCGACACATTTATGTGACAAATCTACTTTTCAGAATGATCCCAGATAAGTAATTCGTCGCTTGAATGCAGAAGTACTCTAAGTCACAAAATGCAAATTTTACAGGAGAGCTATTTTTCGTGTTTGTGTCTTGCCTAACATTTCTGAGAAATTTTGGATCTAGAATGCTTTACCGGAAAAAAAGTATGACAAGTCCGTGAAAGTAGACTTATATTTGTTGCTGACATAGGACTTACAGCCATTCTGTAAGTGATCATCTGCTCTTATCATAGTTCTGCAGTGAAATGACGCGCCTCAAGCTATCTCGCCAAAATATCGTACAAAACCAGTGGTGGGAGAACGCTTGCGCAGGGACTTACAATACCTCTGCATGCGATGTAGGTGACTATGACCTACAATGTCGTGTTAAAATCTGAGAAATGAAGAATTTGGACATACAATAGTTCTGCACTCAGGCGACGAATTATAGTTTTGATGCTTTCAGAGCAGATAGCAACACATGCAAAGAATAATCAAACATCTTTGTTTATATGTTTTTGCCAGGATTTGTTCCTCTCTGGACCTCTGTGTGATGCCCACCCTTTACCCTTCGTTTCCCTGTATCTCCACAGTGCCTCAAGTTTCCGTGGTGGCTGGAGTAATAAAAAATTACACCACAAGGAGATTAAATAATTTATCTAAATACATTTCTTATAATTGTTTTTAGATTTTGGGTAATTGCAAACATAAAATAAGATTGCCTAAAGTTTGGCTTTTTCGAAATACCGGATGTTTCGTATTCGACCCTCAACCGTTGGGATCTTGGAAACTTTAAGAGATACGAAGTCGCTTGAATAGTCAAAGTTGCATATTCAACAACACTACCTCCAGTTCAATGACAATTTCATATGGCATCAGACAAGGTTCTGTGCTGGGTTCAATTTTATTCTTAATATACACTAATGACCTTCATAATCGTAATACAAATGAAGACCTTATATTTAGCAAATGATCTACTTCTCTCTACGAATATTCAATATATAACAAATTTAGAAAATTGGCCTTTAGCGAATAAACCGATACTTAATGCTTCAAAGACACAGTCCATGGTAATAAGTTTGTCACTATAACCTCAATACCATAGACACAATAAAATTTTTGGGTGTCAGTGTTGATACACACATGACTTGGGAGGAACATGTAAACATTATTTTCATGCAACTATCCAAGACCAATATTTAATTTGGAATCTGAAAAGCTGTGTTTCTTATCATACATTGCTATCCGCATATTATGGATACTTCCATTCAAAAATGTCAAATGAACTTTTGAACTAAGACACTCAGTGCATATGCCTAAGCTATTTGCACTACAAAGGTGCTGCATCAGAGTCATCGTAGGTCTGAGTTTTATGCAGCCATGTACGGAAGCATTCATCAATCTAGGGATCCTTACTCTTCCATCTCTATACGAGTATATATTTATCTGCTTATGTTAGGTACACAACAATTTATACGTAGATCTATACAAGACACACAGTGATGTACATAGTTACAACACACGTATCATGCATAAGTTAAATATTCGTAAACATCGTCTAGAAACGGTTCTAACAACTATGGAATACACTTCTATAATGTTCTTAGTAGTTAGTGTAGTAGACTTCTTAATTCTGATTTTAAAAATATATCATACATTGAGATTGCCAAGCATCAATTAGTTATTCTAGAAAAACAAGTTCCTAGGTAGGCCTTGAAATTATCAGACACTCATTTGTTTCGTATACCGGACCAGACCTCAAATTGAACATAGTAACACAGCCTGAAAGACTGAGAAGAAGAGAGATAAATCGAGCAGCGAACTATATTGACACAAGCGGCATTTTGTTGATGGCCTAAATACACAACTTTGGCTCCATTCAAGCGATTTCGTTAATGTCACAGTTTTCGAGGTCCCAATGGTGAGGGTCGAATTTGAGACATCCGGTATAAGCGACTCGATATTTGAATAAGCGCGGATATGCCATCTTCTACTTCGAAAAACAATATAAAAGAGCGAAAACTTTAACGTTGGCAAACTTCTTAAATAGTCTTTGAACATACGATAACAAAATCATAAGGAATTGCAGAGACTAATGTCATTAAAAACTTTGTTTTTTTATTGCTAGTCAAGCACCCGGAGATAAAAAAACAATATTTGGATTTTCTTCAAATAAAATTGTATAAACAATTATTGCCGCAATGTTAGGCCTATTCAAGGAACCATACCAGAATATTTTTCTAAGCAGACGCGAAGATACTTCCTGGACTGCATGCTGGTCAGCAAAAACTTGGACGCTGAGAGGAGTCAACAAACATATACCAAAAATACAAAACTCATCAACAGAAGTATACTCAACAACTTACCTGAACCACTTCCACAATCACATAAGTAATTCCGAAGTCCAATAAAAAAGGAAGAGGTCTCTCGCAGCTGGGGTTCAATTTTCTATAATAGAAAGATATACCTATATGACAAATAGTAATGGGTCTCTCCCTATAATCATTATAGGTTATCGAGAACACTTTCCAGTTCTACTGAGGCGAAATAATAATTTCCGATAGATGCGGAAAGTAGATTGGGATTAAGGTCTAGATTAACAGAAAAAGGAGAAATGACCGTTTTCCGTGGGGTGTTTTCATATAACTTCCTTTTGTGCTACATTTACTCGGTTTCCCAGGACGTTGGAGTTATTGTTTCGCTTTAGCTGTGGAATGAGTTCATAATTACATATAGGGGTAGAAGTAGGATGAGACATATTTTCATTTATGTTTAATACGGTCAATTTATAAGATGAGAAGTGAAATATGTTTTGTCTACAGCCGCTTAAAGTAGTTTTTTGTTGGCTGCAACATCACAATGAACTGTGACGCTCTCAAAATATAATTATGTGAAGTATTTTTCCAAAACTTATCTAAGTAGATCATTTCTTGAATGCTTCTCAATAGACAGCTTTTTATATACAGTCTTTCAAAGCGCCTGACCGATTTCTCTGATTGAGCTGGTGATAAAGAGGCTGATTGCGACCTCCTCTCTAATGAAAGACTTAGAGCATATCACTGTTTGGGGACGTAGAGTGATCCACAACATCGAAGGGGAGAGAAAAATATACAACGAGTTCTTAGGTCGCTAATTCGAGGGTAGTTTCTTAATATAAAGATATTTGAGCGACACTTCAAAGTCTTTTCAACGACACTTTCGGAAATTCTAGCTGTGGAACCCAGCCACACACCATCTAGGTTTCGATGGACAAGTTTAAAATAAGTCTAGCAGTCGACTCCAGACGCGTTACATGTGGGTTTTTTATGTAGTTTAGTCCAGACCAATGAGCAGTTTGCCATTATTCAGGCACTTGTGAATGTCATATTAAGGCTATTCATAGGACAAATTCAAAAAAGTTGACCAACCGATCCCGACCACCTGCCGTAAGATGGCAGTGTAAAAGGTTGTATTATTAACAATAGTCTGTGAAAGTTGGCAAGGAGTGATCCTAGAGCTTATCTAGTAGTATCTCAAGGTTCGTTAACATCGTTAATCCTAATTAAGGTTAATATTGAATTATTATATTTTTGATTATTTTATTTTACTTTTTGACTTTTTTCCAATTTTTCGCATAAATGGGCCATTGTAATATGCACTAATTTTAGAAATATTCGATATTTTTACACCTTAGAAATTTCCAAAATTTTCCAAATATTTGACATATTTAAAATTTCACGAATATCTAAGATGCTCAAAGTTATCAGGTTATTATTTTTTAAATTTTTGAGGTATCACAATTTTCAGAACATTCAATGAAATTGCTGAATGATTTAAGCTTTCAGTTTTCATATTTGCCTAAATTTTGAGGATTTTGAAAATGTATTGCTTTCAACATAACCAATCTTCTTTGAAAGATTACGAAACTGAGAATAAAAAATCTAGAAATAGAGGAATTTGAGAACACTGACAAAAATTCGAGATCTAAAGTATTCCGAGACTCACGTTTTCGAAAAATGTTTAACCTTGTACTGGCAACTGTAATAGCTCAGTGTGAAATACAAACATTAAATCAATTGTCACTCAACCGTCAACCGTCAACTATAAATGTGGGCCTTCTGTTACTTCGATTATGCTGTCTATATTTGAGCCGCAGCGACGTTTGACGATTGCATGCGTCAAACGTGACACGTCGCTACTCTTCGAGCTGCTTCTGCGCGCGGTTATAATTGTGTGTGAAGAAACCCAGCTAAAGAACT